CCCCCCCCCCCCCCCCGCCGTCCCAGGTCTCCCTAAGAACCCAGAGCTGGGCCTGGACCCGTGACCCGACCCAACAGCCTCTTTCCATGATTCCCAGGCTCCCCGAGACCCCCACCTTCCACCCCCTCATCAAGGAGCTCTTCGTGCTGGGGGCAGAATGAGAGGTTGGGGGAGCGGGAGGGAGGTCCCTGACGTCCGGTTCTAGCCCTTGGTCCCTGATCTTTGTCCTTCCCAACTCCTGACTCTCATCTGCCCCAACCCTTGACCTTGTTCTTCCCGCTTAACTGCGCAGCTGTGGAGGGCTGCCTGGCAGGGACACTCTGACAACTGGTTCTGGCCTCCCCTGAACTTTCCACTCCTTGATTCCTGGACCCCCAGACTTCTGACCTAGGGCTCCCACACCGCCCCCAAGGCGGACCGCCACGTGTGCGGGGGTGGGGGGGGTGGGGGGGGGATTAGGCAGGGGCGTGTCTTGGAGCCCCTCCCGCTGTGGGCGGGGCTAGGGCGGGGCTGTCCCAATACCTTCCTAGTCCTTCGTTAAAGGGCTAGCAGCTGCAAGCACCACCTTACTCCAGAGACTGGTGGCATAGCTGGCTCTGCCCCCTGGAAGGTTCCGGATCCCACTAGGTGTCTTCAGGGGGTCAGGGATGCAGGAATCAGACCCAGGCCTTTCTGAGAGGTGGCTTTCATTTGATAAATATGGCTTTGCCCCTCTTTCCCCCAGAAGATTCTTTTTCTGCCCCATCCTTCACTGCCCCCACTCCTGTGTTACTGCTCTCAGTTGAGGCCACCTCAGTCTCTCCTGAGGACGGACACTCCTGAGATGCTCTATTTCTGCCCTGGGGCCTCCATTTCCCACCTCCTCCTGAGTGCCCCCCTCCCTCCGTACCCAGAGCCCTGAGTGGTACCCCCCCATCACCCCTGGAGCCTTGGATCTTCCTGCCACTTTCCACCCAGTTGACCTTGGCCACGTCTCCCCAGATGCCTGTGGCCTCTCGGACCCGGCGCACGTGGAAAGCCTGCAGGAGAAGGCGCAGGTGGCCCTCACTGAGTACGTGCGGGCCCAGTACCCGTCCCAGCCCCAGCGTTTTGGGCGCCTGCTGCTGCGGCTCCCCGCCCTGCGCGCCGTCCCCGCCTCCCTCATCTCCCAGCTGTTCTTCATGCGCCTGGTGGGCAAGACGCCCATCGAGACGCTGATCCGAGACATGCTGCTGTCAGGAAGTACCTTCAACTGGCCCTACGGCTCAGGCCAGTGACTTCACGGGGCCCGGTGAGCTGTGGCTGGGTCTGCAGACCTCAAGGGACACGGATGCTTCGGCCTCGGGTGGGCCTCCCCCCCCTTCCCAGCAGAGGACCCTGGCTTCTCTCCTCAGACTTTATTTTTTAAAGACTGTGAAATGTTTGTCTTCTCTGTTTTTTAAAATGATCATGAAACCAAAAAGAGAGTGCTGGCCCAGGCTCCGGCCCCGGCCTCCCCAGAACTCCCGGCCGAAACTAGGGGCGGGACTGAGCGGTCCGTTCCTGGGACAGCCTGTAGCTAGGTGCCCCAAGCATGAACTTTTGGGGATGGTGGGGTCGGCCTCCCCGGTGTGATGGACGGAGGCCCGGTGGCTGGACTGGCGGGACAGCCGCAGCCAGGCAGGGGCAGGAGGCGCCAGGCAGATCCGCCAGGCCCGTAATCCACGTTGGACACTACATGATGAATGAATCAAGGCCAATAATAAAGCTATTTCCTACCTGCATGGTCTCCATCATCTATCTTCGCGAGGGGAGGGGACGATGGGGGGCACCCTACCATGGCCGCCCACTCCCACCCGCAACCTGACAACAGCCCTGCGTGCTGTTTTCGTTGGAACAGTTTTGTGGGAAACAGGCTGGGGGCAGGGAGGAGGCCCTGCAGTCAGCTAGTGAGTCCGTAGGAGCTGAGTACTGGATATTGGTGATGGTTCAGGTTCGGGCCCTGGCCTATGAAGGGGAACCTCAGAGATTCACACATACCCTGGGCCAAACACCTTTGGTCAGCCCTTAATCATGGTGTCTGAGTCCTGGCGTCCCCTGGAGAAACACGCAGGGTAGTTCTGCTACACGATCTCAGCCCAGACAGAGCCCTCCCTCCCCCCAGCCACAGCAGTCGGTTCAGGGAGGGCATGTGGCCCAGAGCTGGCCACTGGGACTTGATGGCGGCATTTGGAAGATGTAACTGAAAGTAGAGCCAGAAGAGGAAGACCAGCTTCCCAGGATGCCTTTGGAGCCCCTGGATCAAGCCATTCCTGAAACGTTTTGATGTGTCAGTCCCACGACCCAAGATTTACCCTTGGGTGCCCGAGCCAGTCTGAGTTTGGTTTCTTCTCACATGTAACCAAAACACTGTTTCAGAGATTGGCATTCGGGTGGACTATCTAAGGACAAACAAATGCGGCCTTAAGTTGACATGGGGAGACGCAAGACACCACGGACCTCGCCATCCTGGTCTCAGAAGTGGCCCGGCTCTAGCGGCAGAGGCGCCTGAGGGATTGATGGCCAGGACTGTGGCTCTGGGGGGACAGGTGGCCCTGGGGGGCGGGTGGACAGGGCCTGGAGGGTGGAGGCCGGGTGGTGGCACCTCTGGGCCCTGCTGAGAGGTCTTGCCAGGAAGAGAAAGCCTCCATCAGAGATGCCCCTTTGAAAATGGGGAAGAAAGAACTCTGCTCTTGTCCCTCAGGCTGGGCCTGTGGTCAGCCCTCAAACCTCCTCCAAAACACTCCTCGTTACCACCCGGCCACCTTCACGTCCACCTTGGAGGAGGCCTGGGAAGATGGGGCAGTGGAGTCCGTCTCCTGTGGAATGAATGAGGGTCTCCTGGGTATGCTCTGCCCTCGGAGGGCACTGAAGTAGGTACGGGAGGGAGAGGATGCTGGGCTCCCACCGGAGGGCGGGCTGTTCCTGCCCCGAGCCAGCATCTTCCGTGACGTCCCGCAGGTGAGCGAATGTGTGTCACTCCCATTGGGCTGGACGGTGATGCCCTATTCGAGTCACAGGACATCTGAGAACGGAGCAGGGCCGTTCTGTCCATCCTGCTCTCCAGTCCCCGGGCCAGAGGCTTGGATGTCTGTCCAGGCCTGACTGCAGAACTCCTACTTCTCCTACAAAACCCTCCCTATGTGGCCCTTGAGGCAGGCATCTTGAGGCTCTGGTTAAGACTCCCATCCAGCCTTTTGTTACTGCTTGATCACACTGGGCCCATCGTCCCCGAGGATAGAGGCTCCATGACTCCTGAATCTGCGACTGAGGACTCTGTGACCTAGTGGCCGACACTGCCCTCCCTGCCTGTAGTATGCCTCCCTGAAGGTCCCCATCCCGTTTGGCTCCCCTGGGAGGCAGCTGCTGGTCCACCGTCACGTGGCCCCCACAGGGAGCCCGGCCCTCCCGGTGCCCCCCCCCCCCCCCCCCCCCCCAGGGCCTGGCATGGAGTGGGCATCATGGACTCTCTCCCAGAGCCAGCACGAGAGCTGTACTCACACAGTGCCTGGCGTCAGTCACGGCCCAGTCTACAGTGCCCTGGGAGAGGTGGAGATTTTTCTTTTTTTTTTAATGTTTTATTTATTTCTGAGAGAGAGAGAGAGATAGAGTGAGCAGGGGAGGGGCAGAGAGAGAGGGAGATACAGAATCTGAAACAGCCTCCAGGCTCTGAGCTAGCTGTCAGCACAGAGCCCGACGCGGGGCTCAAACCCACGAACTGTGAGATCATGACCTGAGCCGAAGCCGGACGCTTAACCGACTGAGCCACCCAGGTGCCTCGAGAGGTGGAGATTTTTCATAAGGACTCACGGATCCGGATTGGCATCAGGGACTCCAGCAGGGCTCCTGGGCCGAGTCCGCCCCCTTCAGGAGGTCCCCAGTATTGTACCACATGAAGTTTTGCAGGAGGCTGCCTGAGCAGGACAGAGGAAGGTCCCCTGCCAGTCCTGCCTCTGTTACTGGACCTGTCGAGACTTGTGGCTCCTGGGCCTGCCCCTAGACCAAGGCCGGCTGAGCAGGAAATGCTGGATGTCAGCCCCTCGGCTTCCCACCAGAAGACCACATGCGGTTCTGGAGGGAGCTCTCCAGACAGGCAAGGGTTCACAGCCTGCCTGCACAAGTCATTTTTCTAGAACCTTCATGTTTTTAACTCTGGAAAATGGAATAACGAGTTTTTGGTGACAACTGAGTGAAATCAAGGGATGTTAAGCAGCTGTACACAGTAGGTATTTAATAAATGTTTATTACGCTGGGATGGAAACGAAAGACCTGCTTCCAGGGGATGGGCTGAGATCTGGGCTCAGGGCCTGTGGTCCCAGAGGAGGTTCTGGGAAGGCTTCCTGGAAGAGGGGCCATCAGAGCTAGCTCTTAAAGGCAGAGGCATTTGCAAAAGCTGCCCCAGGAAGGGGTAGCAGCAGGAGCTAAGGCCGGGAGGTAGGAAGAGAAGCAAGGCCAGGGCGGGACCCCCACCCCGATGTGTCCCTCTGCCTGTCCGCCAGGGCGCTCAGAAGTACACGGAACCCTCGTGGTCTCCTTGCTCATCGAATTTCTGGATCTGCATCTTGAGGTGCCTTAGTTTGCCCTTCAGGTAGTGACAGCGAGCCTGCTTGTCCAGGAAGCTGGGGTCCTGGGCAGGGCAAGACCAAGGAAAGTCCTTGTGGCGGTTTGGCCTACGGCCCTCAGCCCCTCAACCCTCTGCCTTTTCCTCTCTGAGCCTCACTTTTCCTTCCTTGAAACTGGGCACACAGCCTCATGGGAACATCGGGGGTGCAAAGCCCAGGCTGTGGGACTCGGGAGGCACGACTCACCATCTGTTTCTTCTCAAATTCCCTCCAGACTCGCGCAGCGACTTGGGCCTCCTTCTGCAAGTGGAAAGGGGTGGGGGCAGCTCAGAGAATGCTGAACCCAAGGAGGGATGGGGAAACTGAGGCTCAGGTGGACAAAGCGACCCGTCTAGTGAGGACTTCAAGGACTGACTTTGGCTCCTGTGCTATGGTGCCCACCCAGCCTAGAGGAGAAAGAGGCCAGGGAGTGTCCCAGAGGCCGGGGTCCACCACCGGGAAGGGCTGGGGCGGGGGTGGGGGTGGGGGGGGGTTCTCCCGCCGCTAACCTGGCTTCGGGGCCTGGGCAGTGAGCTCAGCAAGGTCTCCAGCTGCTGGAGCTTTGCCCGGGCAGAGTCCACCTCTTGCTGGAGCTCCAAGAACTCTGGGTATTGGTCCTGGAACACTGCAGCATAGCGGCTGCGGTCCCTCTCACTTCTCACGTGTGGGTACTTACTGCCGGGTTAAAGTGGGTCAGAGTGTGAGTGTCAAGAACGCGGCCCACTCCCCCAATCGGCGTAATTTGTTTTTCTTTGCCCGTGTTGCGCTCCCTGCCCCCAAACGCCCCTTTTCTCTTTTTTACTATTTGGTAAACTTGTATTGATTTGTCAAAGCCCCAGCCTCGGTGCACCTTCCCTGTTCCCAGGCATCAGGAACAACGTGGGGGACACTCACAGCTCATAGTCGGGCACTGGGTGGGGCCCTGGCATATGCCCCCCAGGGATGGCTTCAATAGGCTTCTTGGTGCCCAAGGGGGCCCGGGAGGGCAGCTCATCCTCAAATACAATCTTCTTAGGTCTTGCCCTGCGGGCTCCTGGCTGAGGCTCGCACAGAGCGCGTGGAGCGCTGCTTTCCTGGGCTGGAGGCACCCGTCGCTGCAGGTGCCGCAGGAATCACGGTTTGGAGTTAACCAGGGGCTGGGGAAGCCAGAATCCCTCAAGTGGCGGGGAATGAATCTTTTGCCTAGGTTCGGCCTGGGAACCCTCCTCCCGTTCAGACTCACCGGGGGCCCAGGGCCAGGCGGGCGGGTCTGCGGGTCCCCCTGATAGCCGCGGGTCTTGGGACTCTCCCGGGTAGGCATCCGCCTCGGGGAGGCGCCGCTCGGGCGTCCCTGGGGCGGCGGGCAGGTCTTGCGAGGGACGCCGCGGCCCGCGCGTGGCGGGGGTGGTCGGCGAGCTGCCTGCGGACACCGGAGAAGGGGGCCTGGAGGCGGGCAAGGTCGCACGACGCACGGGCAGGTGGACCCCGGAGGGGCCAGCTCTCCCCGGACCCGCGAGCTCTCCGGCTCCGCGGCTATTTGCATAGACGCACTTGATTGGCTCTCAGAGCAGCCCGCCCCTGGCTGCGTAACCCGGAAAAGCACAACGCCCGTGACGTCACCGCGTATCCTGAGTCGGCCGGGCTCTAGTTAACCCCCGCGCGGCCGCAGCCTCGCCCGCTAGGGCGCGTGAAGCCCACGGACACTGCCCCGGAGAAGCTCCTGGGGACCTCCGCCCCAGCTGCAGTCCCCAGGGACCGCTCCCGTCCGGTGTCACCTGTCCCAGCGTCCGGGTGTCCGAGCCTGGGTCCGCTCCCGGAGAGGCGCCTGAGTGCCGGTTGTGCATTAACTTCTAAGGCTGGACACAACTGGAGGGGTCGCTTCACGGGGTGGGGCGGGTCCTAGCGAGATTGGGCGGGGTTGGCGGGGCGGGGGCGGGGCCCGGCGACGAGGGAAACGGATCCTCTTTTGAATCTCAGGTTCGAGTCCAACTGAGCTCGTGACTCGCTTTCTCTGACTCTCAGGTTTTTGGCCTGAAAACCTAGTGGTTTTGGCAAACTTGTACTTATCTATTTACCCAGAAATTATATTTTAAAACTCTTTCTATAATCACTAGATTATTATTCTCTGACCAGCTGTGAAACACTGATTTTCCCACAACTTTTGTAACTCCAGTGCTATTATGATTTCCCACACATATATTTTCCAAGTTTTAAATCTTGACTACTCTGGCGAGAGGAAAAGTTCAGCAACGATTTATCTGTTTTCCTGCAAATTTTTTGTTGTTGATTTTTGGGAGCTCTTTGCTTAGAAAGGATGTCATTCAATGAAGTAGTGTGTCTTTACTTTTTAGTAGTATAAGCGGGGTCTTCCATTTACTTTTTTTTTTTTTCCATGTAGGAAACGAAGTATTCATTAGTCCTTTTCTGTTTTACTTAATTCTCTATTGAAATAGTTTCTTTTTTGGGGGGGGTTTCACATAGTCATATCATCCACAAATAGCTTTGCCTTTTTTCTCTTCTTTCTTATCTAGTTGTGCTGACCAGCACTTCCAGAAAATGTTAAATCTTTGGGGGAATTGGATGGACCGTGGGCCTCCCCTCGTCCCTTCCTCACTTTGATGGCCGAATTGCCTGTATTTATTTATTCATTAAATTCAATGCTGTCTTTGGCTTGAGATTTTTCAGTTAAATGAAGAGAATATCTATCTCGGGCTAATGTTCATTGAAAGATGTGGAGTCATGGATACGAAGTACCATTTCACGCTATGATTTTGTTTCCTGATGGGTTAGGTTAATGTGGCTATTAACAGGCTGCCGGATGTTGAACCATCTCCCATCTTAGGTGAGAGCAAGGCTTCTTAAGATCTATTTTTTCCTTCAAAGATTTTATTAAAACATTAAAAAAATGTTTTATTTATTTTTGAGAGAGAGAGACAGCACAAGCAGGGGAGGGTCAGAGAGAGAGGGAGACACAGAATCCAAAGACAGACTCCCAGTTCTGAGCTAGCTGTCAGCACAGAGCCAGATGCGGGGCTTGAACCCACGAACCGTAAGATCATGACCTGAGCTGAAGTCGGACACTTAACCGACTGAGCCAGCCAGGCGGCCCAAAAGATTTTATTTTTTGTGATCTCTATAGCCAACGAGGAGCTCCTCACAAACCTGAGATCAAGAGTTGCATGCTCCAATGACTTGAGCCAACCAGGTGCCCCTTTAAGACCTGTTTTTAGGGGCGCCTGGGTGGCTTAGTCGGTTGAGCGTCCGACTTTCGCTCAGGTCATGATCTCACGGTTCGTGGGTTCGAGCCCCGCGTCGGGCTCTGTGCTGAATGCCAGCTCGGAGCCAAGAGCCTGTTTCAGTCTGTGACTCCCTCTCTCTCTGACCTTCCCCTGCTCACGCTGTCTCTCTCTCTCTCTCCTAGAAAAAAAAAAAAAAAAAAAAAAATAAGACCTGTTTTTAAAAAGTTGCCACTAGGGCTTATAAAAAGCTTTACCCGGTCGTTTTCCACCCATGTTGAAGGGTGTCCACATGGGCACTTCTAGGCGTGTCCCCATAGTGCACCTGTCACCAGCCCAGCCTCCCTCTCCGAACTCCCCTGGTTACCCCCCTCACAGGCTTTGCCTTTGCTGTCTGGAGTGAGGGTGGGCAGAACCCAGGACCAGTGGCTCTCCTGGGACTCCCACTCGTGACTTCTTCCAGGGTCGCCCCTTGGGAGTAGCGCCCACTCAGTTCTCCTCTGAAATGATCGGGCTGTGACCTTGGCAGGGCAGTGTTTCCATAGATCTCATGCATTTGTTGAATGACTTGGTGAAGCCTTTAGTTTCCTGAGAGCTGAGGCTGTGGCTGGACTAAGCCCTGTCTCTGAACCGTCATCTTCAGTTTCCAGAAAGGCCCAGCACTGACACTCCCTCCTCCAGGCTGACCTCCAGGCATACCCCATTTCTCCCCCACCCTGACCCCACAGGGCTGAAAGCACTGTTTGCCTCTGACTCTATCAGACTGGAGGCTCCTGGGGCTTCTTGGGGCCTGGCAGTTTTCAATGTGGGGTGCCAGCAGGGAGGAGAGGGAAGGGGAATTGAATGGGGGTGGTTCTCTGAGTCACTTCTCAGGCTGACCTTCGGCTCATGCATTCTCTGTGGCTTTGGGGACCTCCGAAGACCCTCCCATACTGTTGCCTAGAACAAAGGGCACCCCTGGACACGGGTGGAGGGCAGACAGAGGGCAGACAGGGTGGGCCCGGGCACGGCTTTATTTGAGTTTGGGCATGATGCGGATGAAGAGGATCATGGTGATGAAGATGAAGCAGACGACGATCAGCATGGCCCAGAGCAGCCAGTTGACCGACTTCTGTGTGTGCTGCTCCAGCCGCTCCGATTCCGTCTTCAGCTTCTCCAGGTTCTGGTCAGCCATCTTGAGTGAGTGCGACAGGGTCTGGGGGGCGGGTGGGGAGAGGGTCAGCGGGGCTGCGGCCACGTGGGGCCTCTCCCTACCACCCTTGGGGGGCAAGTCCGCTCCTCTTGGCCCTGGCGGGTACGGTGCCCTCTGCCGGGAATTCTACTTCCGCCTTCTATCGAACTCCTCTATTATCCAACAGAGCCCTGGCCACTAGGCCCCTCTGCGGGGGTGGGGTGGGGTGGGGCTTCTCTGACGTCCCGGGGCAGAGGCTGGAAAGTTCCCACAGTCCTCGCACCTGGTTGTCCTTCTTAATGACGCTCTGGGCGGCCAGGGTGTTGGTCTTGAGGCTCCGGGCCAGGCCCAGCATCTCCTCCGCCAGCTTCTCCTGGAGGTTCTGATGTCGCCGCAGGACCAGGTCTAGCTCGGCTGCCGACTGTTTCTCGTCCCCTGGGCTGGGCCCTGCCACCCCACTGACCTCACACGGGGGTAGACAGGTGGGGAAGGGATGCGGTGGGGGGAGGGGAAGAGACCAACACGTTCCCAAGGAACCCAGAGGTCCTGGCTCCAGCCACTGAACTGCACGGGCCTCAGTTTCCCCTTCTTTACTTTGGCTTTTAGGAAGAACACCCCCACAAGCGGCTTTCGATCGATGGTTTAGATGCTCGTGGTGGCCCTCGTGGTTTGGTGCCTCAGTGGCCCAAGGGTCATCTAGCCCCTCATACGTCCCTCCCTGCCCAGTGCTCCCCAAGGGCTGGAGACACTCACGTTCTCTTCCTCACGTCCAGCTCGGGTTCTGTAAGTGAAAAAGGTCAAGCAGGAAGAAGGAGAGGATTGGTTTCCTGTTTTCCGGCTTCCTGATCATTGCCTGTGATGTGTCTGCTACTCCTAATGTTGTTTCCTGTCTTGTCTGCTGCCCAGTGAGCTCCTGATCATGCTTCAAAGCCCTGGGTCAAACGCCTTCTCTTTTACGAAATTTCCCTCACCCTTATCTGGGCTCCCCCAGACCCCAGGTCCCTTCTGCTCGCCTAACCTGTGGGCTGGGAGTGTCCAGCTTTATTTCCCCTGGGGACCATCTCCTCTGCCCTGGCGCCCCCATCAGGCTTAACTAGGTGGTGCCCCTGGGGGCACGCTCCCTGGGCTGGGGAAGACCTTGGGCGAGTCAGGTGAGGGAAGTGAGGCGATACATGTCTTGTCCCAGACAGCGAAGCCTCAAGTCCTGTCACCTCCAGGCTGACTCACCTCCAGCAGAGTCCTATGGGAAAAAGAGACACATATGAAGTCACCTACCTTGTCATGAGCCCACACTGTCCTTTCTGCTCCCAGTCAGGGCCCTGGGCAAGTCCCGTGACCTCTGTGCCTCAGTTTCTTCCTCCTGGAGCGTTACCTGACCCACATGAAGTGTTCAAGAAGACACCTGTCATCCTGTTTTACAGACGAAAAAACTCGTGCACTCGTGGCAAGATGAGATCAACTCGGTCTGTCCGTGGCAAACGTGTCCATTGCTCAGGGCCAACTCTGGGGCTTTACTAGAGAGGTGGCATTTTGTCCTTGTACCACACTCCTATATGTCTAGCAAAGTCCTGTCTGCGCCCTTCTGTTGGGAAGCCTACTGCGGGCCCAGGGTGCAGGCTGCTGGGCCCCCTGGGGTCCCTGCACCCGCCAGCATTTGCTATTCCGGCCACGCACAGGCACTAACCTCCTGTCCCTGACCAAAGGGGGCCCAGGGCCCAGGGACAAAGCCCTACCGTGCCTAGCAGCTCGCTCCGCATTTCGCTGGTGTACCGCGCGCGGGACTGCAGGTGCACCGTCTTGGTGGCGGGGACCCGCTCCCTGGCTGTGGTTGGCACACGGCCAGGGGCCAGAAACTGGTTAGCCAGTGCCTTCTCTGAGGAGGAGGTCTGCAGAAGGGGGAAACGGGGTCACCAGGGGGCGCGGGTCCCGGGCAGGGGAGCGTGATGCGGGCCGAGGAAACAGAGCACCCCTGCTCACCAGCTTCTCCGCCTGCAGCATCCCCTTCAGGAAGTCTACCTTGCGGGAATATTCATTGATCACCTCGGAGGCCGGTTTGCTGGAAGGGGAGAAGAGGAAAAAGAAAACCTGCGCACTGTCCCTAGTTTTAGGAAGGGTGCCCGCAGGGGCTGGAGCCCAGGGACTGATTCCCCAACAGGACTGGCCCACGGGCCTCCTCTCCCATCCCTGATTTGAAGCCCCTGTGGCCGCCTGCACTCACCTTGCCTGGGTTTTCAGGGCCTGCAGCATGTCCTCGAGGGCTCCCACGTACTGGGGAGGGAAAGTGGGGTGTAAGCCTGGACCCCCCATCCTCACGCTGCTACTCAAAGGTGGGATGG